GGGGGGGTTGCAGTGCACACATACATAAAAGCACACACGTACAAAGAAACAATTACCCCTCTGTTGGCATAGCTGGTCTCCAGTTCTCCAGGAAATCCCACTAGTGGCAGTGGCATCCAACAACGCTGAGAGTGTGGGGACAAGGCCATCTGGTGTCCAGGGCAAAGATGTCAAATTGGGCCACCCTCCCAGCATTGATGTCACTGGAAGCAATAATAACCCCAGCATTGGTGGTCAGTGGATGCAATAATAACCCCCAGCATTAAAAGAGAACTATGGGGTAACCTTTTTATCCCATAGTTCTCTTTAGGGTCATGGGAGGACATATGCTAACGTCCTTCCATGACCCAAAGCTCAGTATATAGCGAGCTATTGCTCACTATATACTAAGAGCGCCGCAGCCAGTACGGATCCCAACAATACTGTGGAGATGCACCCAGCTGGCTGATTGACAGCGGGCTCTGCCTATCTAGAGTCAGAGCTGGAGTATCAGAGAGGGACAATCCCTGTGGGGAGCATTGGCTGACAGTCATCGCTCTCTGCCGGGAGATGATCAGGAAGTGAGCAAGCGATGGTGTTCGCTCACTTCCTAATCAATAGAGTCAACGTGTGACAGTTTCAGTGTCACACATCAGCTCTAAATTTCTCAGCGATTAACAGCCCTCTAAAGCAGCAAATAACTCGTCACGTACAGTGTACGTGACAAGTCATTTGGTCCCTTTGTGGCTGGACGTACAGTGTACGTCTCCCGTCACGAAGGGGTTAATGGTCAGGGGACGCAGTAATAACCCTCAGCATTGGTGGTCAGTGGACGCAATCAAAAACCCCTGCATTGGTGTCACTGGACGCACAACTAACACGCAGCATTTATGGTCAGTGGAGGCAATAATAACTCCCAGCATTGGTGGTCAGTGGGTGCAATAATAACCCCCAGCATTAGTGGTCAGTGGATGCAATAATAACTCCCAGCATTGGTGGTTAGTGGACACAATAAAAACCTCCAGCATTGTGTCACTGGACGCAAAAATAACCCCCAGCGTTGATGGTCACCAGGATTTACATGACCTGTAAGTGTTAGACTTATGTAGCACTCCTCCTTTTGGGGTGCATCAGGATAACCCCCTAAGTAGAATGTGCAGGATAACATTTCCTTCTCAGGGCCTGGTTCTAGATGTGTGTTGGTGAGCTGTTAACCTTTTATTGCTGAACTCAGTTCTTGAAGAAAGGGTTTAGCAGTGCATGATAACAGGTACCGGTGTATGATAACAGGTATTAGAAGTAGCAGATCCTTTAATAGCAGCCTCATGGTAATTTTACCGGTCCTGTGATAGTAGCCAAGTAGATCTATGACCCTATAGGAGCAGTCAGTCTTTCTTAAGTAGCAGTAGGTCTTTCTCTATTCAGGTTGTCCCTTGACCATTTCATAGCAGTCAGGTACTAGGATTTGTGGGCATTGAATCCTTCTTGCAATGTCTAGTAGTAGCTTCTGCTAAGCTCCCCATGACACTCCTGACAGATGCCCTTTCTAGGCAGCCATCCTATTGCCCAGCTCCTTCTGCATGACACCATCCAGCAGTCCCAGGACCTCAGACACATTCCCCCAATTTG